AACTATTCAATCTGCTGGCACACTCTTTTCCTCCATACTAGATCTCCACAGGATGGCAGTCAGGTGCCACCATCAAAGGATCCTCCATCTTCGCCCATCACTTCCAAGCTTCTTCTTTCACCAGGACTTGCCAAGCCGAAGGAGCTAGGCCCAACGTAGCAAATCTGCGGACCTGTCGGAACACAGAAGGGAAGAGGTGTGCAAACATAAGAACATGGTCATGTGAGCTTGCAGGAATTTTCTTCAAGAAAAGCAGAGACGCTGTCTCCTGCACATAGATCTCCATAACCTTTGTGGAAATCCACCGACCTTTCCTACGCGTATACTCCCCATCTTCTGTTGTCTGTAAGTGCCATGTGGCACCTCCAGAACGCAAGCTACCAGGGTCGAGCGCCTTCATATCACCAACTTTCTCAACTGGGAGTTTGAGGGCGGACAAAACATCTCTGAATCGACTTCGGAACGTCTGCCCCGACCACGGCCAAAGGAGTACACCAGGCGAAAGATTGCCAAAACAAAAGTCAACGACCTGTAATAGGTCGGGGACATCAAGCTTAGCAGACTGGTGTTTTGCGCCCGTCTTCCGTGTCTTTGGTTCTCTGATGGATAGGAGGCCAAAAGCCACCGTGTGCTCCACATCTCTGGGCAACAAAAGTTCAGACCGTGTGGCCGCAAAAAGTTCGCCCGGTCTCAACAATGCTCCCCAACAAAGTGCTAAAGACCCTGCAAAATAGGTCCATCCCCAAGTGAGGCTCACTGTAATCGTACTCAACAAGACTTGATGGATGGACCCAAACTGACACGAATCAAATCTCTCCTCGCATGCTCCATCCCAGGAAAGCGCAGCCTGATAGGAAGGCAAAAACTTGCTCAAAGCTGTGAAAGGCCTTTCCAAAAGTCCAGCTGCTCCGTGAAGTGAAGCCTTCTTCATGATCTGCAGGCCCCGTAGGAAAAGCAAATTCGCAAGGCAGGACGCCGCATGACGCTAAAACTGGTACATGGAGGTTCCACCACCACAGCCAGCAATCGTCCTGACTCCAGAAGAAAGTAGATTCAGGACAAAACATGAACACGAGAGAGATCGTACTCCTCGGATAGAGAAATGTCCAGAGGTGGACCCACAGAAACTCCCAAAGCAGCAATGGCCTGAGTGATTCTGCTTGAACCTGCATAGATTTCAATGAAGTCAAAGCTGTAAGCCAGTGGCCGGGATGGGCCTCTGTAATCTCCATGCCCCGGAGAGTCATCATCAGAGGAGTCCAGTGTCGGGGGCAACTCGGTGTTCTCCTGAGTCAACCTTGTATATGCCCCCTTGGTTCTGCAAGTTCGAGACAGCACTCGCACCAACTCACTTCCAAGGAAGGCACTGCATATGGCTCCCTTGGACTCTGAAGCATCGGTTGCATACATCATCTCATCAACCTCGACTGCAATGTCCGACATCATCAGTGGAGCAAGGACAGCGCATAGAACAAGCTCCTGAGCGACCCTTCGAGGTAGAGGAACCAATGCATTGTCCTGAAGTTCGTCGGTGGAATCAACCAATGCAAAGGCCTCATTCAGAATTCCCATCATAGGCCGACGGTAGAGCAACATAGAGACCCAAGCACCAACCAGGCAACGGTGCATAGAGGCTGTTGTGTAAGGCAAGGCGCACAGCTGCAAAGTCAAAAACAACAAGGAGAGTCTCTTCTTTGCTGGAGCCCCCACAGTGCACAGCCCTTGAGCAACCGCTGATGGACTGCAGTTGATGAAGGCGCCAATGGTCTTGCCCTCATTCTCAGCAACAATGTCCTTTTCAGGAGAGTCAAGAATCTCGTAGTCTGCATAGGCCTTCTGAGCAGTCACGTATGCCTGATAGGATCGGGATTTGGAGCTGTCCCTATCGGGTCAATGGATACACTGAAGAAGTCGTCAATCACAAGCCCCTGCACTGAACCATCATCAAAACAAGGACGGTTGGCAATCAGCTGAACATCATCACCCAACAAGCCATAAGATTGCAAAAGCTGAGTGTGAGCATCTGTTGCTATTTCAACTCCTGCATGATCACCTTGCAGAATACTGTCAAAACAGACCCAGAGCAGCGAAGCATCTTGATCAACCAAGACGGGACGATGCAGTTTATCACCACGCTTCTCCCGGATGTCTCTTCTTGGATTCCCGATCCAATGGCTCGTCGAATTGCGGGAGAGTTGGTCCAGAAGTCTTTGGAGAAGTTCGAGTCCGAGGCGGAGGACCAAGAAGCTGCAAGGCTTTCGCCGGAGTACGAGCGGTCCCTGGCGACTGAAGCCCTTGAGAAACCGGAGGCACCTTGGGGATAACTGCTGACGTGCCTAAAGAAACAAGCCCGCCTGCAGGAGTGGCAGATGTAGGAGCTGTCACCTCTGCCAACTGTCTGTTCATAGCTTCTCCTCCTTCAGCCTGTTGAGCCACGATCAAAGAGACCTGAGCTTGCAAAGCCGACAGCTGTTCGGCTAGGGCGGCATTGGTCAACCGCTTGGCCGCGGCTTTCTTGGGGGCCGAAACGGCCTTGGTCATCGGCTCTTCTCGAGCGCTGTAAAAATGGACTCTTGATGCACCTTCATTCTCAACCCAGTTCATTGCCTGAGCTAAAAGATCTGCAGCCGAAGGAATGGCGGCATGGTGCACCTCGTGAAAGCTGTGAATCTCCTCAGTAGAGTCCGTCACGGGGTCATAGTCTCTGAGGAGGCTCAAAACATCATTTGCAAAATCCGCAACCACTACCTCACTTTTGAAACCAGCAGGGTAGGCCGCTCCAGTGAATTCATCCTCAAGGATCAAATCAACTTCAAATGTGGTAGCCGGTCCCAGCAGAGCATCCTCTTCCACCACTCGGCCAGGAGCCAAAAACTCATCCTTCAAAAGGCCTGTCGGAAAATTCACTGAGTTGCGCTCCATCGCCATAGTGGAGGTACTGGAATGGAAGCACCTGCACAAAAGATATGGAGCTCAGTCAAAGAAGGCAGCCGCTCGACCTGGGCGATGTCCGGATAATCTGCCACCAGACGATCAGCGTCGGCCTGTGAGGTGACCCTGACGAAGTCGAAGTCCGAACCTTTCCGGAGGATCCAGTGAGCGTAGTTGGAGACTCCTGGCTTGTAGGGAACGGATCTCTCAGCCTTGCACGTCCAAAAAGCTCTCACCCAGAAACCCGCTTTGAAGGCCTCCCAAGCACGATCCTCTGCAGAACCCTTTGATGAAGTAAAGTTCTTCTTTGCAAGCCTCAAACAAAACTCCAGCAGCTCTGGAGGGCCGGATTCAAACTCAACCACCACTGGACGAGAGAGGAAGTCCGGTGGTGGACCAGGAATGGCAGTCCCGTCTGTCACCAGTTCCCAACCTCCGCGTCTTGAGGGAGTAGTGTGCTCTTGACTACTAGCAGCCTCCACCTCTCCTCCTCCGGCACGACGATCAGTCAGCTCCGTTGTAGCTAACGTAAGATCTCGAAGGGCCTGTGTCAATGACTGAAGGTCCTGACGAAGCCGCTCTGGATCACTCATGCAAATAGGCGTGCAACCGCCTAGAAGACTGAGAGTGGGGTCGGTCGGAAGCGACCCAGGGACTTGAAGTGGCCGTGAAGGTGACTGGCCGGATGAAAGTCCAGAAGAGCCAAAGTGCAAGACAAAGTCCAAGAATCAAACCCAACGACAGGCCTGAGAGGAAAGGGAGAGCCACCGATGGGTAGCAATGCAAGGGGCAGGAGAATGAGCCTGAAAGCGACAGCAAGGTAGAAGCACCCTCCAGCAAGGCGCCCCAGCAAAGCATACCCAATCCCTCTCGAGCTTGAAGTGCCGCAACGAAATCACAGTTAAAGCACATATACATATGTTAATATTGCAAATATATGGTATATGTGTTTTTACTTTATATTTTATACGACATGATGGTGACATGTTGAAGGTGATGACGTTGAAGGTGTTGCTGCTGCAGGTGATAAGACTAAAAGTGACAATAGGTAATAGGTAAGATGAAATTGGTAGCTGTTCTTTAAGGAGAACCCTTCGCGGATGCTTTAGAGAAACAAACAACCCAGAGTATTCCAGAATCACCTCACTTCCGGATCTTCCCTGAAGCACCCCTTTCCACCTGTGCGCCACTCTGCTTCGAGTGGCCTGAGAGCCAATGACCGCAGGTCCGCTTCCCCAGGTCCAACCGGGTCACTTGTCATGACGGATTGGCCCACTTCAAAGACCAACCAACCCTTTCGGTGACACCTGAGCACACATGCTCTCACGAAGACTGACAACACTTAACACATGTGCACACGTTGCTGTGTCAAACTTCTTGAAGACATGGTGGTGAAGCTGTGAAGTGTTCAAAGCTCCTCAGTTGCTCATTCGCCTTTGGTCCAATTCTTGCAACCTCTGCCGCATCAGAATCGACGAGGGGCCAGGACCAAGAGGCTGGTGGGCCCGATGCTAGGAAGACGTCCTGGACTTCTGGTGACAGGTCTCTCTCAACCCTGCCAAGACTTCAAGCCACGTTGAGTTCACAATTGTCGCACGAGTTAAGGACCTTCACCGTCCATTACGCGAGCGAAATCTCTTCCCTAAGGTTGCCTTTCCTTTTCTGCCCTTCCCTTCCCTGTCCTTCCCTTGCTTGCTCGCTTCCTTGCTTCCTCCCTCTTTGCTTGCTCCTGCTCCCTTGGTTTCTTCTTTGCTACACCAGAATAGACTATATAATAAACCCAAGATTCAAAAGACATTTGTGGGCAGCATTGTAGCAGCACCCAAGCTCCAAAGCGCACACAGCCACACATCTGGCAGGGGCACAGAGTAGCGGCACCGGCAGGCAGGCTCCAAAGCGCACACAGGTACCTCTTCCTATACTTGAAATAAGAACCCCGATAGCTCTGGCAATCTGGGGAACAATGCCGAAATACAGAAAAGCAAAAAACAACCAACAAGCAGAAAAGCGAAGCAAGCAAAGAAGCAAGAAAAGGCAGGAAAAGTAGAGCAGCAAAAGAATTAGTTTCCTAAATTGCCACGGGCTCACAGATCCTGGCAAGCTCAGAGATGTTTGTTGGATGGTCAATGCTATTTTTCAGGGCTCCATTGCTCCATGGCCGATCTGAGCTCCCACACCACCTGTGGGCGGTCAATTGGAAGGACCGCAGCACCTGCGTGAAACCCGGCCAAGTTTTGCATAAGCCGGTACGGTTCTACAGCGCAATAAGCCGAGCGCATCCTCGCTTTGCAGGAGCCTGTACTTTTCAGAAACGTCCTTTCTTTGTTTTTTGCCCGCTCCTCTCTCGTATATAATACTACATATGTTTTTAAGCCTGCTCCCCCTCCCTACTGAATTATATAAGTAGGCGCCTACTTAATTAAGGTAGCTAGTAGCTTAAGTGGCTACTGGTATGGACGCAGGATAGTTCACGCTTCTTCAAGGAAGCTCCCCCCGCCGCCCTAAAGGTGGCCGGGGAAAGCTTCCTTGAAGAAGCACTCGCGCTAATGATTTGGTTTCTAGATTTTTAGGGAAACTTGTTAACATGTTCAAGCTGATGGCCAATCCGAGATGTCAAGTAGAATAGAACAAAACCAACACATCACATTTTTCACCACCAAGGGATGATGGTTGAAACCCTTAGTTGTGTTCTCGAACTTTGGCTACAAAGTGGTCCCAAAGGTGATCCTCGGAGGGTGGAAGCAAGCCCCATGAAAACCAAAGACTGTCCGGGTGCTGCTCTTTTCCATCATCCTGAATCTACTTTGAAGATCGAAGATTCCCCCAAACTGACTGGCACTCCAACCACTCAAAGTGGCTTGTCTCCCCCAAGTCACCCTTCCCCAAATGGCTCGATAGCCCCCCCCACAAGGTCAGCACCAACTGTGCGAGCTGCTTGGAGAATTGGCGCGAGCCTCGTTTTGGCGGAACGCGCGAGCCTCGTCTCGTGTGTCACCGTCAGTCTGACAGAGGAAGATCCCCAGAAACTGGGCTTCTCAGACAAATCGGCCACGGCTATATCAAAAAATTCAGATTGCCAACTCTCTTTCAATCTTTTGCCAGCAAACTTTTTGACACGTGGGTCTGTCTGTCTCAAAGAGGCACGTTCGCAACATCAGTGTTCACCCGAAATGATGGACCGGGGCCCACGTGGTTCTCCTTCGCCCCCATCCTGGAAACCCATCCCGATAAGCTCCCTGCTCATGCTGAAGTAGTCCCCCATGGATGTTGCCTTACCACAGAAGCCAAACCAAAACCTGAAAACCACCACCAGAGGTTGCACAAGATACCACCTCACAGTGGTAGAGACAACGTCCACTCTCGGAACGACAGTGGTCGGACCTCTCGGAACACCTTAGGGCCCTTGCCCAGCAAATCCAACTTGGAAGGAGGACCCAGTGGCACACCTCATAGCGCATGCAGTCACCAGAGACAGTTCAACATTCCGGTTTGCTGAATTTCACGTTCGGATTTCACGTTTCACCGCCTCACAAAAGCGACAAAATGCGACAAAATGCTGGGGTTCACCGTCTAAGCATTCCAGACTTTTTGAACGTGCCCCCAGCATGCCATCAAAACAGGCTCCTGGCATCGCTACTAGGAGCAAGGACGCTACTAGGGACAGACTCTGACCATCATGTTTGGACCACACCTGCGGCTTCGGATGGGAAAGCCTCATTTGGGAGGCAAACTCAAAAAGGAACATCTACCAGGGGAACTAGCGGCTACACTTTTGCAAAGAACACAAACTCAGTCACACACTCCTATAGACACCCTGATGATCTGCATTCTGGGTGTTTTGGCTTGAAGCTTCCAAGCTGATCCACCGAAGTTTAGCCTTTACGGCTGATCCTCGACGTTCCTCCCCAACGACCACCTGAGTCTCAGAATCGAGTCACCCAGCTTCATGGATGACAGCACTTGTCCGTAGCGGCTCTGACAAAGCTCGACCAAGACCTCAGCAAGGTCTCAAACTTCGTTCTGCTATCGAAGTCTCAACCAAGAAAATCATGACACGGCTTCACCATGCGTTTTCGGCCCCAAACAACATGTCGTAAAGGCTTCATGGCTTCACTTGCAACCCACCCAGGCCCACACCGCTGCACCGCCCAGCCTGGCGCGGCTTGTGACTGCGAATGGCATCGGCCGCCTCCTCACCGCTGCCAGGCCCCGAACGCTGACCATGCAGGATAGGCCTTGACTGGAAGTGCTTCCGCAGCGCAGGCACCCAAACGAAGATTCTTGATCAGTTTGACTAAGAAGACTGAAGTTCGACCAACAAACCGTTCGGCGCTGTTTGGGATCTCTTGGGACAGTTTGACCAGCTCCATGACCATCTCTTCTTACTCGCGGCTCAACCACCACGCTCAGGAGGCTCATGTCCAGCGTCTAACGAAACTCACCCCGTCTGCCACTCCGTCATCGTCGTCAAGTCGCCGTTTGTCCGCTTGAACAGGACTGTTGAAAACGGTTTGAACCGCACACATACTTACAGTACCCACCGTGAATGCATATGCTTGCATTGTGTTGCTAATGTTCCGCCTTAGGTGATTGATGAAGTACGCAACAATGTGCCCAAACATCTGCATTGTCTCTCAAATGGAGGATTCTAATATATTCACTGTGCGAAGGAACAAGTGAATAATCTACTTCCATACTGAAAAATGGTCATTGAACATTGAATGATTTTCGTAGATTCAAGCTCGATTCACGTCCAGGCATAATGCTTATTCTTGTACATGAAAAAATGAAAGGACGTATTTGTTGCGTACTTCTCGTCCCGACCAAGGCTGGACAATCACCTGCACACTTGATCATCAAGCCATGGCAACCAGAGATTGTGTCCTGTCACCTGCACACTTCCTGCACAGTCACATGACATTGCTGGGAAGCCTCTGGCAGCTTCTGGCCAACCTGTCTCTTTCCCCTTAACCCTGTATCATGGCATATAATGGCCAAATCCTGTTCAATGTTCCATTGGAAAGGCAACAATCGTTTCATCGATTCTCGAGGAACGTTCTAATACATAGTTGCACTATGGTTTTTGGAAAATGGACGGCAAAGGACAGTTGCACGTTCTAACAGCGAATCCCTATGTTCTCGTGGTTTGCGTGAGGTTGATGCTTGTAGAGGGGCATGCACGACTTGCGAAGCCCTTTTTGATATCGAGTGTGAAAACGAGCGTTCACTTTGTTTGAGCTGGGTTATGAGCCCAAGTTCACGTTTCCGCGCGCAAAAGGCGATCGAAGACATGCATGCGGAGCACGGAGCCCTTGTCCGTCCGGCGGGCCAACCTGTGAGTTTGGGACCTCAGGTAAACCCTTTTTGGTCTGGAGCGGCTAGAGACGAAGCAATCCTCAGAGCATGTAGACCAAGTCACCTGCCTCAAGACCTTCCGGAGACCTTTCAGCCGATGCAGCCAGCAGTCAGTCCGCCTCGTGAAATGCCGGAGGCAATGAAATCGATGGTTCAGGGCTTGAACGCAAGGTTGTGGTCGGAGAGGGAGGCCATGACTTCATTTCCTGCAGGGTGGGGTCCACCGCCGCAGTTTGGTGGCCATTCACCATGGGCTCAGGGCATGATGGTTGAAGGACAAGGTCATGGAAAAGGTCCTATGGGGGTGGTGATGGAGGCTTTGAGGTCTTCGGTGAGTTCTACCTCCTCTTACAAAGACAAGGGGCTGTTGGGTGCGTTGGGATTGCCAAATGATCGGTTTGGTCCTGGTCCTCCTTCCTACTATGAGCAGGGGTCATATGGTGGGCACCCTTCAGCTTCAAGGGGGAATCTCATGGAGCTGTTCAACATGGTGGCGGGGTTTGGGCAGGCGTTCTCCATGCCGTCCTCAGGTGGTTCAGACTGGGGAAAGATGTTGGCTGGACACTTCAACCAAGGCCGTTCCTCAGACACGGCGACCAGAGCAGCAGGTCCCACTGGGGACTTGGAGTCGGGGCAAGAAGAGTCTCGTCGAGGGACCATTGCTGATCCGGTGCGAGATGAGGTTCAAGGAGGCCGAACTGAACATCCTAGTGATCCTGTTGGAGGTCCTGCAGGGCAATCTGGGGGTGGGAGTAGAAGTGGTGCCAGTCAAGCAGGTGCTAGTGTACCAGGTGGTGATCCGTCTCGTCGTGAGCATGGGAATGGGTCGTATGGACATGAGGGAGATCCAGCAGGTGGTGGACAACCATATGGTGGAGGTTTTCCCGGTGGTGGAGGATTTCCCGGCGGTGGAGGATTCCCAAATGGTTTTGGTCCAGGTGGATTTCCGGGCGGCTTTCCTGGAGGTTTTCCTGGTGGAGGACCTGGAGGTGGTGGACCCCCTGGTCCTGGTGGTTTTCCTGGCGGACCCCCTGGTGGAGGTGGTGGACCAGGTGGCAATGGAGGTGGTGTCCATGGAGGGCAACTACCAGCGTGGCTGGGTGGACTGATCGCTCAGCAAGAATCGATCAGGGCGGTGGAATTGCCGAACCTCCCGCAATTGTCAGAGTCCGAGGTGGGTCCTCTCCTGGCGGGTGATTGGATCACGACAATCGGCCCTTTCCTGAAGGACATGAGCTCGAGTTCTTCGCTATGGTGGGAGGAGGTCCTGAGGATTGCGGGAACACTCTATCGTGTGTGGTTGGGGTCAGAGCCAATGGAGAGGTTGAGACTGGTTCCCATCACTCCGCCGGCCTTTCAAGCTCCGCCATGGTTGAGGATCGAGCAACGGGGATCAGTAGCTTTGCTGAAGGCGCTGCCGGAGTCGCTTAGATCGGAGTTGGTGGCTCAGCGAGAAGTTAGCTCCGTGGGCATTATGTTCAAGGTGCTGAGGGTGTATCAACCTGGTGGGTTAGGTGAGAGAACTACACTCCTCAGGCAGTTGGTTGATCAGAAGGCGCCGGCTCCCCTCAGCGAATGGTTGCTGGCTCTACGATCTTGGAGGCGGTGGTTGACCAGGGTGCAAGAGCTTCACATCCAGCCGCCAGATCCGGTTTTGCTGCTGTCGACAATGGACAGGTTTGCTGCGGCATTGGCCAAACATTCTCCTCAGGTGGCGTTTCGGCTTCAAATCACCCGAGCGGCTCTTCGTGTTGACACTGCCCCTACAGAGCAGAGCATTCAACAGTTTTCGGAGTCGTTGATGGCAGAAGGGGAGGCTGTGTTCCATGGAGGTTCGTGGTTGCCGATCAAGGAGACGGTCAAGGTGAAGGCCATGGATGGTGACGTCGCCGTGAAGGAGGAGGCCGTGAAGAAGGATGGAAAAGAAAAGACAAAAGAGTCCCCAGATGGCAAGGACACCAAAGATGGCAAGGACCTGAAAGGTGGAAAGTCCAATGGCAAGGGGGCGAAGCACTGGTGGTGAGAGACCTATCTGCCGGTACTTCTTGTCAGAATCCGGGTGCAAGAAGGGCCAGGGCTGCTCCTTTCCTCACGAATGGAAGGGTGTGTCCAAGCAGGGGCGCTGTTGGAACTGCGGCTCGGCACAACATATGCGGTCTGAATGTCCGGTGCTGGACAAGCCGCGTGTGAAAAAGGAGGCTTCAGAGGACAAGAAAGGAAAGGAGATTGAGGTTGTGGCCAGTGAAGTTGGAGGCTCATCAACGTCGGGTGCCGGCGGGTTCTTGCCGCCAACAGAAGCTACTCCACCTCCTACTGATGCGTTGGTCAAGGAAGCAGTGCAGCTTTTGAAGTCGTTGAGGCCAACCATGAAGGTCATCACTGTGTGCGCAGTGAACAAGGGATCGGGACACTCCCGGGCACTGTTGGATGGAGGAGCAACCCACATCTTGAGGCCAGCAAAGAACAAGACCGAGTTTGAGCAGGCCGTACCAATCAAAGTGGAGTTAGCGGCCGGGGTCACGACGTTGAGGCAGGTCCAGACCACGGGCACTTTAGTGACGGACTTTGACACCCAGCTGATCATTCCTTTGGGAAAGGTGGTCAAGCTGGGCTATAAGGTCACTTGGGAGGCTGAGGAGTTCGAGATGCTGGACCCGAAGGGTGTGAAGATTCCAGTGCAGCTAGAAGCAGGTTGCCCTACGGTGGATTTGGGAGTGGCCAAACAGCTGATCAAGGAGTTGGAAGACCAGGAGTTGGAGCAGGCGAATCGGGTTCGAGCATTGAAGGCTGGGGATCTGGGAGATTTGTCGCCCAACATTTGGAAATGGTTGACCGACTTACGAGCACTATGGCCTGAGGTACCAGATGAACTGCTGGCAAGGGTGATTCCATCTGGCAAGTGGACAGGAGATCAAGTGCCGCTCAATCGTCATCAACGACGGCGCCTCCTGAGCAGCCCGTCGGTCATCGTGCACTTGTTTTCTGGGCCAGATCAGTCGTGGTGGGGGAGAAGATTGGAGTCTCCTTCAAGGACTGTGGTGTGCATCGATAAGATGGTGGATCCTGGACAAGATTTATTGTCGGACCAGCTGGCTAGCTTCTTGGCGGAGCTGTGCGAGAAAGGAAACGTGGATGCACTGATAGGGGGTCCTCCCTGTCGGACGGTTTCCAAGCTTCGGTTCAGGCAACCAGGGCCACCACCCCTGAGGGCAAGATCAGGTCCAGAGAGATTTGCGTTGGCCGACTTGTCTGATGTCCTTCGAGAGCTGGCATGGAATGATGCAGTGCTTTGGATGCGGCAGCTTTGGCTGTACACCCTGGCAGCTCGGGCACGAGCCCGCTCGGTCCTGTTCCTCAAGGAGAACCCTAGAGATCCTCAAGAATACAAAGGGGCGGATGATCCGGTGGACTACCCGTCTTTCTTTGCATGGCCAGAGTGGAGAGCGTTTGCGGAGGAGTTCAAGATCAAGGAGATCCGGCTCGACTTCGGCGCCATGGGCCATTCCAAGAGAAAGCCAACGACGCTGGGCACCAACATCAAGTACCTGCAGCAGTTTGAAGGGCTGGCGGATAGACGTCCAGCCGGAAGGCTTCAGCCGGTGACGAACAGCCTGGAACAAAGAACATCGGAAAGCAGGTCGTGGGCGGCATGGCCGGTTGACTTCAAGACTGAGGTGTCCAAGGGGATCCTGCTGGAGCTCGAGGAGTACAAGTTCAGAAGAGAACATGATGATGGTCCTCCATTGGCTGCCAAGATGACTTCAGACCAGTGGAAGCAACATGTGATGAACGACCACGTGCCGTACTCCAGAGAGTGCACTACATGCCTTCAAGGAAGTGGGAGGAGTAGACCGCACAAGAAGATACCACATCCAGATGCACAGACCCTGAGTGTGGACATCTGTGGACCTTTTCGGCCGGGGCATGATCGAATGGTCAAAGCCAAATACTTCATGGTGGGCGTGTTCTCCATCCCAGTTCGGAAGGTTGAAGGAAAGACGATGGCACTTCCCTTGAGCTTGGAGGAGACGTTGGGGGCTTCTGTCGAAGGTGAAGAGCCTGAGGTGGAGGAGTTGAAGCCAGCGTTGCAGGAAGAAGAGCTGGTAGAACCAGAGAAGAAGGAGGAAGACGATAAAATCTTGGAGGAGTGGAGAAGGCTGGAAGTCGAAGCTGAGGAGATAGAAATCCAGAACTACACCATGGTCGAGACCCTCGTGTCCAGGAATGTGGCGGAGGTGAAGGCATGTTTGGCCAAGATGATCGCCAGGCTCAAGTATCTGGGGCTGGACGTGAGAAGAGTTCACAGTGACGCCGCAGGAGAGATGAGGGGGACAAGGAGATGGTGCCATGAGCGAGGACTATATCGGACTTTCACATGTGGCAGCGACTGGAAGGCCAATGGAAGAGCTGAAGCGGAGATTGGTGTGGTGCGACGGGCCATCAACACTCTGATCAGGTCGTCAGGTGATGGAGAAGATTACTGGCCATTGATGGCAAAGCATGTCGGAGAGCGTCGAGGACGTCAGCAGCTGGCCACTTTGGGCTTCACTGCCTTGGGGACAGAAGGTGATGGTCACAACCAAGGGTTGGGATGAGTTCCAAGGTCATTGGAGATCAAGGAAGAAGCCGGGGGTCATCCGTGGACCTGACCCGGACATGAGTTTGACCAGCGGAGGTCACCTGGTGGAGGTCGAGTCGGGCAAGTTTGTCAGGACGAATGACATGGTCGTTGCAGGTGATCCTCCTATGTTGGCCGACGTGGTGGAAGTCACAGAGCGAACGGAGCCGGCAAGCATCTTGGACAAGACGGTCAAGCCCGAAAGACGTCTGACAGAGAAGACAGCACTGGCCCAAGTCGGTGTGGAGGTGGTCCAACAAAGGTTGCTGCATGGTCAGGCGTGGGCGAATCAAGAGTTTCAACTTCTGGAGGCCAACTTGCAGGAGTTTGCAGAGGTTCCGTTGGTGATGGACATGGACTGTGAAAATGCAGTTTTGGAGGAGTTCCTGCTAGAGTCTGGGGCTTCACTGAGGAAGATGGAGTGTGAGGCTGCTGGGATGGAGCATGAGGAGGAGGAGATCTTCTTGCAGACACGCACCATCAGCCTGAATGAGGTGAAGAAGTCACTGCCGCTGTGGGTCCCACCTCTGAAGGATGAGATCCAGAACTTCGACTCCAATCAGGCGATTCACCGGGTTTCGGAGGTTGAGGCTTTGAGCATGATCAAGGAGGCCGAGAGCAATGGCCAGAGGGCAGAAATTATCCCTGGGAGTGTTCACAAGGAAGGCTGGCGATGGCAGAAGACGTGCTCGCATTGTTTGCTGTGGCAACTACATGGAATCCCGTTCTGGAGAAGAGGTTTATGCCTCAGGGGCTGACTCGACACAGTTGCGGGCCACATTGCGAGCAGCTTCCCTGGAGAACTGGCAGTGCCTGTCTTTGGATGTGAAATCAGCTTTTCTTCTTGCACCAAAGGCACAGGGAGATCTGGTCATTGTCAAACCGCCCAGAATCCTTGTCGATGCTTGCTCAGCTGGCCAAACCCGACGAGCATTGGGTGGTCTCTTCGGCTATGTATGGGTTGGTGACATCGCCAAAGGATTGGAGCGTGTATAGGGATGCTGAGTTACTGAAGATGAGAGGGAAAGTCACCATGTCGATGAGGAGGTGGTGCAATTTGGATTTCAGCCTTTGAAAGACTCAAACCTGTGGGCCATCAAAGAGGTGAAGAACGGAGGGTCCACTTCATCTGAGGAGTGGGGCAGAGTCCTTGGCTATATGATTGTGTATGTCGATGACATCCTCATGGTTGGAGAGAAAAAGGTCACAGACGTGGCAGCTTCGACAATCCAACGAGTGTGGTCGACTTCAAACCCGGAGTACTCCGTCCCAGGGGGGCCTTCGATGCGTTTAAGTAAGCCAGGACAGCTTCACCCATCTCCAAAGTCCAAAGTGGACGCTTCACTGCTGCTTGTGACATCTTCATCACTGCCCAAGCAATGTCTGGCCTCGTTTTGCTGGCTAGCCACAAAAGTTCTCCGGTGATCTTTTGAGCCCCCTTCACCTTAGCCAGAGTGGGACTGATCTCCTCCCTCTCTTCTGGAGCCTTGATGAACATGGCCTTGCCCCCTTCTCCATGTCTTTCCAGGACCTCTCGAACATAGCTTCCTTGGTGCAAATGGTAAGTGCCATCCTTCAGACGCTGGATCTCTATGCCCAAGTTCAGTCCAGGTGATGGGCACAGCATTTCCGGAACCATCATTTTGCTGGCGGGGTGCCCGGTTCAATGGGAAACCAGGAAGCAAAGCCTCATGGCATTGTCCACAGCTGAAGCGGAGCTAACGGCCTTGGTGGAGGGACTACAGGTTGGAAGATCTGTAAGGGCGTTGGTCGAGCTTCTGATGGAGAAGGTGAATGTGGAGCTCTATAACGACAACAGAGCTGCTATTGTGCTGGCATCTGGATCCGGAGGCGGCTGGAGGACTCGCCATCTTCGAATCCGTGCAAGTTGTCTGGCTGGAGCTTTGAAGATGGGAGAGGTGACTCTGGACCACAGGATGGGCAGTGCTCTATGGGCAGACGCTTTGACCAAACCGCTTCCTGCACAGTCACTGGAAAAGTTCTGCCGAGGCATCCATTTGAATCGAGACCACATCACACAGTACACCGAGCAGATGGTCGAGGTGCATGGTGAGGGTGTGAGATTATCAAAATGTATGGTGGCACTGGTTGCCGGTGCGTCTCTTCTTCCTCGGGGAGCTGCTGCTGAAGTATGCGAGAAGGGAGTGCCGGAGACCGGAGGTCAGTCATCGGTGCTGGGCGATTTGGGCTGGATGCTTGTCCTGGCAGGATTGGTGTGTTTGCTCCACATGATCAAGGACGTTGGAGTGAAGTTGTTGCAGCGCATTGTGGCAGGAAAGGAAAGCATTAAGGTGAAGCTGCTAGAAGAGAATGCAGTCCTACCTCAACGGGGTTCTGAAGGGGCAGCTGGTTGGGATCTTTGCTCAACGATGGCGTGTCATCTGGCACCTGGAGAAAGGAAGTTGCTGTCAACCGGGGTGGCCTTGGAGATTCCCAGGGGGCACTATGGTAGGATTGCATCGAGGAGCTCTTTGGCATCACAGGGAGTGGACGTGGCCGGAGGGGTGATCGACGCTGATTTCAGAGGAGAGGTGAAGGTCATCCTGGCCAATCATGGTGACACACCCAAGTCGTTTGAGGTGGGTGACCGAATCGCACAGATCATCATTGAGAAGATTGCAGAGACTCCTTTGGCTGAGGGACGTGAGTTGTCGACTACATCTCGAGGAGGGGGTGGTTTTGGCAGTTCCAATCCAGCAGTCAGAAGGGTTGAAACCAGAGTTGAAGACCTATCAGATGTCGGAGCTCTACGGCCAGTTCGTGGAGCTCTACTACAAGATGGAAATGGTGGTGAGGAATGGGCTGGCAGTGAGATGCCGAGAAATCTCTTCTTTGAAGTATACACTTCACGAGGTGGGGAGACTATGCCGATCTTCCTGGACCGTCTGAAGAGGAATGAGTTGCAGGAGTTTTCGTGGCTATTTTCCAAAGAGGTCACGGACATCGTGAGCGTGACGCCGGTGTGTGGAACGCCATTTGAGGTGGTCCTGCGATTTCCTCAGGGAATTGTGTCTTTGAAGATTCACCGACATGGTGGCTGGCGAAGGAAGCTGTTTGACAGCGAGTTGTCGGTTCCACTGTCGGATTCGGGCTTGGCTTCTGGAGTCATCACCATTGCATGGATGGATGATGGGCGATTGATGATTCGGTCAGATGTCCGAAAAGGAAGCCATGGTATGCATTACTTGAAGCAGAGGTGGTCGGGCTATAGCATCTTGGCACGTCCCTCCGAAGTCAGGTCGGCTGGCAGTGGTGGGACTATGGGCTCTGGGTGAAGCTCCCGACTACCTCATGAAGGTTTTCTTGGGGGGCTGGCTTGGCAGGGGCTATGGAAGCTCTGGAACCCTGGACTGAGTCTCCGTTCATTTGGGGAATGTGATGGTTTGTGTCGAGGGATGAGTCTTTTTAGATGGCACCTGTTTAGAAGCTGGCAGAGAGAGAGAGAGAGAGACGGAAGAGAAGAAGGGCTTGAGTCTTGACGCTCGAACTTTTGAATTTCTTCAATGTTGGTGTGAAGAGTGCACCGAAAGTGTTCATTTGTTTGGAGGGATTCAATATCCCGAGTGAACACGGGAAGGGGGAGCGAATCCCTATGTTCTCGTGGTTTGCGTGAGGTTGATGCTTGTAGAGGGGCATGCACGACTTGCGAAGCCCTTTTTGATATCGAGTGTGAAAACGAGCGTTCACTTTGTTTGAGCTGCTAACATGTCCGAACTACTAAGACTCTAAGAATCAAACAAACTACCAAATGAACAGGTCTTCTTGCGCTTCCCTTCCCAGTGCATCGTTCCCCGAGTCCCTTGAGCGCTCTTGCAAGATGGTGAGCTTCCAAGGCGTCTTGCGCACCTCCAAACTCTGGGCTTGCCTGGGCCTGGGCAAGTCGACTGCTCGTCCAGTTTTGCAAAGCGCAAATCACTCAGCTTCCAAGAAATCACAGGCTCCCTTCTCAGTTCTCGAATGCGTTCCTCTTTTCCGAATGGCATCACGCCGTGGCTGTGTGGCAGCCAAAGTCATTTACATCACCCCGAAACGCGCTCTCGGGGCGATCGAAAGCAGCTGTGTAGCGCTCGTTCGTTATATACAAGAAAGCACTGGCTCTTCTCGAGCCAGGCTGACAGAGTTGTCTGCAAGATCTGAACTCTCAGTTGCACCCAAATAGGATACCATCACATGCTAAAGAGCTGATAATGCAGAAACATGAGTAATAAACAACTACAACGATCTTGTGCTCCAGTGTGGGTGGATGGGGTGGGTGGGTGTTTGGTCTGGTGAAAGCAACGAACACACAAATGTTCACCAGGACCCCACAAAACACCCGACCTTACTTCAGTAACTGCATGATCTGTCATGTCTTTCTGTACTGGGATTCCCTCTCGTCCCAGTGATTTCCCAAAAAAGAGTTTTCCTGCACTTTTCAAGTGTTCATTTGGCCGTTCCGCGGCCCACCATAGACGTCTCGCCCCATATTGGACTGTGTCTGCGTCATCATGACCTGGCCGAGACATCAAAGAGGTGAGAGACCGACCAAAGAATGAACACATCCCGAAATAGTCAAATCCTACGTCTTGCACCTTGAAAGGTTTTTTCTTTGCATTCTGCATTTGGACCCTTGGATCATTTTGAAGTCTTGGATCCCAAGAACATGCATTTGATATGTCACATCCCTGCGACAACGACCTGTGACCTTTGGATGAACGACCACTTTGGGTTGCACCTCTTTTCTCCAAAAACCTCGACCGGCAGTCCCTTCGGTTTCCTCTACGGTCGCGCCTTGGAGACCGGTCGCACAAAGGCGGACTCCAACTCGATGGGAGCACGAGGATCGTGGGAATAGGTGCAGGCCTCATCGTGGGAGCTGCGACGCCCAACGAATGGACCGTCAAATCGAGAAAAAGGGGACCAAGCGGGAACAGGTGCGGTCTTCCCAGGTTCGCTTTTGTGACCTAGCCCGATGCCAGTCAATTCTTGCGTTATCTGCCGGTAAATCGCGAGAGAAATCGGAGCATTACCATGAGACGGTGCACAGTATTGCCGCGCTTCTTGATATCGTTTCAAAACATCCACGAGGTCTGATGCGCTTGGAAGCCACCTCCGCCGCCCACATGAGAATGTTCGAAGATGAGCAATCGAATGCTGGTAGCCAAATATATAGCTACTGCATTGATCATTTGATATCATTTGATGCTCCTTTTTAGCTTCTGTTACCTTTGGTGAGGTGACAACGACTCCACGAAGAGCGGCAAGACGTTCCTCCACGTCATTATGGTCGAAACCACGTGTGGTGCGTTTTGGTGCGTGCCTGTGCTTGCTGGCCGTGAAGTCCCTGGCCGCTTTTCGACTTCAAGTGGTCCACCAGGTGTTTGAAAGTACAGCTGTGATGGGTAACATCTCTGCTCTGAGCACACCTTTTGTTGTGTACGCATCTCTTTATTGAGCGCGATGCAAAAAAGACAAAGCCACGCAAAAAAGACAAAGCCACGCATCTCTTTGCTGAGAGCTGGCGTTCTTTTTCATAGCTTGCTTCTAGCGTCTCTTTCTGGGGGCTCCATAGACCATGGCGTGCATGTGGCTACAGCTTTCATAAATCTGCGCGGCAAGGTGGCACAAGTATGATAGAAATTAATATAAAGGACTAGCAAGGGTTGGTTTTCTCTGCATGTGTGAACCTACTGCCCCGTGTGTTTCGAGCAACAGGAAAGAGGATGCGACATGGACGAGAACTGCTCCTTCCAGACGACACCACATGTCAGGAGAACTTGCATGGAGGCCAAAGAAAGGCTTGAGCAATCACATCAAGTGGTCTGAGGGATGAGTCGAAGCCCCCATTTGGAATTCATGCAAAGTGACATGTTGGAACTTGAAACACATTACGCATGGCTTCATTCCCTCGCACATCATCACCTCGCACTTCATCAAGTCAGAACTCATCGCGAACATCTTCGAAACAGAACACAGACTTCCTCAGCTTTGTAGTGTTGCAGGAACTTTTGCAAACTTCCCCCCACCAGCTCTGCCAGAAACTACCCTCCGGAAAGATGTGTCGCCATGTGTCTTCTTGGGGGATAGTGTGAGGAACACTTCTTTAGCTACAAGAGATTCAACATCATCCTGTCCTGCTGGGTGCATGGAGGCAACAAACCTTTCCATGGTGTGTGCGTAGACACGTAGGCACGTAGACACATCGAAGTCAAGGCCCCCGAGCATCTCCGACGGCACAAAGCCCATTCTGGTTGTGGAAACACCGCAGCCTGGAACATACAGCAGGGATTCCCACCGCTGAAAAACATCCCGTGGTTGGATGGCGAAAGGGACGAAGACAGGTTTCCAAGCCCTGACTTGGTGTTTTTTGGGGGACAAGAAGCTGCAAAATGTACTAACCACTTGTGTCTGTGAGGAAAGCTAGAACCATCATCAGAAGTCCTGTAAGACAGGACCCGCAATCCCTGACTTCTTGTTTGTTTTATCACCCAGCTTTGACCCCTAGCAGTTCGGCACAAGCCCTTTGTGGATGGGTATTTGTTGTAAAGTCGCCACCGACATGCGAAAGACGTTGCGGATGGGACCCCCATAGGGTGCCTATTGGGGTGATTAGGTCTTCTGACACACCTGACAATGCTTATTGAATACTTCATGATCAGTTGCCCGAAGCCTACATCAATCACACCCAGGTCTTTTAGATCTGAATCTGTTCAAGCGCTCCAGTGGCCTTTTGTAGCCTGGGCTAAGGGCAGTCAAATGCGGCACTTCCAGCAGTTGATAGAAGTCCTTGTCGCCACCTTGGTTGCCAGAACAGTCACGTTTCCTTTGACTTGGTGCATCACAGCAGGCAAAATCAACCTGATCAAAAGTGGCAAAGCTCCATAGACCAAGTTCTACATACAGTATATAATTTTTGGAGGAAGCCTGTAATCCCTTAAGCTCCACGATGATAGTTATGGAAATTCTGCCAAAGCCATGGGCCTATTTTCTTGTCGATCAGTGAACTTCATTGCCACACTTAGAAAACTTGATGTCATACATGCACATTCGACCATGTCAACGCAGTCCCGCAGTATTCAAAACTGGCCCCAGGCTATGTTTGACTAAATGATGAATGGTCAATCCCAAAAAAACACGGATCTCTGTTGGCAATCTGAGTTGCTGTGATTGAAGCCCTCAGGGATGAATCAAGAGTCGGGGCTCCAAGCGGAGTCCGGAGAAACACATGTTCCGTTTGAACATTGTGTTTTGATGTTCAGTATTCCATCTTTGAAACACAGTGGCACACGAGTCTTCATTTGCTAAGTGTCTTAGGGTAGCGAGTCAAAGTTGCTTGAAAGGGAAGAAGATCTGTTAACATCAGTCGAGCCTCTTCAGCCAAGCACTTGATATCCGAATCCATGTACACTGCTTTGAACAGCTTCATATAGTTTGAACTTGGATGAACAGTCACCACTTAAAGGACCGAATACCTTTGTCCAATGACTTCGCCAGATTTCTCCCGGTCCTTGTAGATATCGAACCACTGAGTTCGAATCACCTCAAGCTGCCACGCAAATCAACTGAGCCCGGCAACCTGACCCTTTGGTGGGCCTCATTGCCATGCGGGGCGACCATCCAACCAACGTCTGGATTGGCATTGGATGTTGGACTTATCCCAAAAGCATCCAAAAGCAATTGTTTTCGGAGGACGGTCTCCATGCTTCTTTTCGACAACTCTGTATATACTTTTGAGGGGCATGTCCATTTCAACTACTGTCAAATAGAGGGGTGGCATCCATGGGTTCCAACAAGTAGACCGCAAAAAAAGAAAAACACAATAACCAAAGGTTGTTTGAAGAAAAATCACTGAAGTGTGTGCTTTTGCTTGGATAATGGTTCTTTGTGCGCTGAGAGGAAGCTAAACGTCCATAACTTTTCCATAACCCGGTAACCCCTTTATCACTGACTCCATCGACATTGTGGCAATCGCGATGCTGATGCACCTGATCAATCGAAGAGGTTCGCACCTTCATTTGTCGGGCGATGGCGCTAAAGACCTCGCACAGGTGGAGCAGATGGCCGCTGGACGGCTGGGGCGGATCGAATCTTTTGGTTTTCGATTGAAGTGCCCATGAATGAAGGCAAATCCTCTTGCCTGCTGCTTTTCTGGAGGGGTTGGAACATACTCAAAGCCTCTTCATGTAGGAAGCCTTCTCAAGAACACCCAAGGCACTTACCTTGGCAATTCCGGTTCTCTCACCGAACCTTGGATCCACCTTTCAGGCTCCCCTTAGGAAGCACTATCCCTGGGAGTTAAAGGCTATAAAAACAATTGTCTTTAAGGTACCTGAAAAGGAACTTCCTTTACTTCACTGAGGCAAATATAGTCGAACTTGACTTCTAAGCCCTGCATTTAGCACGGATGCATGAGGGTTCATCTCCAAACATGGGGACAGCCATGGCAACAAAGGGGTGACCAAGCTGCCACAGCCTTGAAACCGCTAACCGAACTGTTCCACTCACGCCAAACGCATGGGGCACACGGTCGGAAAGTGTGTTTCAAGTGAAGGTCCAGTGTATGACCTCGCCGGTGGCAACGGCCCCGCCATACGGCCTGCAATACGGCCGTTGCCCATCTCACAAGGACATCCCAAGTAATACCCCCGTATCAGGCCTAATTACAGGCCCAGCATCTAAACGTCCAGTTTCTAGAGATGGAAAAAGAAAAGAAAAGCCTCCAGATCAGGCATTCCAAGGAACACCTTCGTCGTAGACATTCAAGCTCGCGAAGCACTTCAAGACATCATCGGCTTGTTCCACCGTCATCCTGCGGAGCTACCGTCATCGGTGAGGCGTGTTTGCTAAGCTCCGTCCGAAAGGGCCCGATCCGACCCAGCCCTGCCATGCCCTGCCTATCTCTCAGGAGAAGCCTGCAACAAGGAGTCAGCTGTGTTTGTGTTTCTGGTGTCTTCTTTTAGAATGGGCCCTTGAAGGAAAGGATGCAGCCTTCTTGGACCCTCAAAATCAGCAAAAGGATCTCTCAAAAATGAGGTCTCTGAGAGACTGACACCGCTTAAACGGAGATGTTCATAGGCTCACAAACCCTTGTGCATCTTCAGCACAATCCTGGGAGCAGTCCCACCGGCATTGAGACACTAGGCCCTTGGTGCCAACCACACCTCCATGTGAGGAATCCTTCGCTTGAATGCCAAACACATCAATGCCAAACACGATTGAAGAAAGCTGAACAGAATTGTTAGTCCAACAGACACCTGCGGTGTCCAGACTTCTCTATCAACCTCATGAGCCAAAGCCTAGAGGCCATCATGGAACCCTTTCCGTGGAAAAGGGACGAAGAATTATCCTCAGCCGCTGAAAATTGACGTTAATTCCAAGTTATGCGAATCCTTGGCAGTGGGGACGCTACTAGGGGCTCCTACTAGGAGCCCCAGGTACGCTACTTGTTCAAGCCAAGAACACGCACGCCCGATGAAACGCCCCCAAAAACGCCCACCTCTTGAGGACGCCGTTCAGAACCCTGCGCGAATGGGGCCAGAAAAATGGAGGTTTTTACGTACGTAAAGAGCACAGGAGTGCTGGGAGTAGCAGGCTACATGCCTTGGGCATGCGCGAATGTCGCTGAAGGCGACTGTCAGTTTTGTCGCTTGAACTGGATCAAGAACAGACCAATTTGGTGCTCGATCACAAATTGGTACCATAGGCTACTTGGGACCTGGCAAATTATGCCCCGTGTTGTTCTCTTCGTGATGGTGTGCTGCAGCTAGTCAGGTGACCACGCAAACATGGGTACACAACACGTCTCATCACAAGTCACAAGCTGCTACCCTTGCACATGCCTCTAAAGAAACAAGCCAACTGAGCCCTACATTCTTCGGAAAGCAACAAGTCAGACCAAACCGACACAAGACAACCGGAGGACCTGATGATATCACCGTCGAAAAACTTCGTTCGCGCAAGGGCCCTACAGGCTGCCGCGACATCTTCAGGAAGCATCCTGGCCGGTTGACCAAGCACAGCGGCGAGAGAATCCAACTAGGGATCTCCTTCTGGGGGTTTTCCAATGGGATGAGATTCTATGAGAAGTGATACTTCTCTGCACACGGAGAACTGGTGAATTAGTTCCTGTTCATTCTAAGCTGACCTACATGTGGGAAGAGCTCGAAGACCAGGAGGCTTTCGGCCGGAAGAACCTGTTTCACTGGTGAGTTGGATTGGAAAGAAAATGAACCAAACCTTTGAGGCTCTGAGGAAGGAGCCCTCCAAGGGTTGCCAAGGGTCTTTTCTTCACGGAGGGGCCTACAGGTGGAGGTTTAAAGCAACCATCTCGTACATTAACCATGGTAAACCTCCCTCAGCATTGCCTTGGGATCTTTTTGAGCAGGGCAGGAGCAAGCACCATCATCCTCCCAAAGGTCTCCACCTCAATTCGTGCGACGTCTAGATTGCTCAGCGAGCACCAGTCGATCTGAGCTGTCGATCCAGCATTTGCCGGGACGAACATGCGGACATGTTGCTCCATCCAATGTCGCAGCACTTACATCTTGGTTCTCCTCCTCGCTCCCAGAGAGTTCCTATGTGCGACTGACGGGTCACGGTCGCGGCACAAATGTCTGTCCAGCTCCACACCGGGGCAGTTTCAAGCAAAAGAACGCAAAAAGCAAGTAATTATATCCTACTCTTGTCGAACGACACGAGATATCACCCAGAAGGCCGTCTTCTTCGGAGAGCTTGTGACTTGTGCGGCTTTAGGACACCCGCAAAAAAAGTGATGATAGGTTTTTTATGCTGTTTGTTAAGAGCTGCCCGAGTCGGGCTTCGCTGAAAAAGGTGACCACCCAAGCCCACACATGCGACCACGATCTACACGTTTACCTCAGTCTTCTCTGTCTTCTTCGGTGAATCCGCAGGCTTGGCATCCTTTGGATCATCGCCTTTGCCACGATCCTGGCACAACCAGATCTGAAAGGAAAAAATGTGGCCATCGGCCAGAGACCAATGTGTACCCAGTTTAAGCCTCTCATTCAACATTTTGGCAGGAGAAACAGGAGCATCACGAGCCTAGACTGTGGATTCTCCAAAGGAACGGTGATTCTGTGAGCCAAACCTATGTTGAGAAAACACAAAGGCGTGCCATGTCTAATGATGTCTGATATGTGTGCCAACCATCTGTCCTGGTCCTCCTCCTCATCCGAATCCATCCAAGCAAACTCCTTCCTGAGATCCCAATATCTCTGGTTCTAGCACTTCAAAAGCACTCAAACCGGATGAAACACGAGGCCGTTTACCTCAAGAAGCTTTGGGTGCACCACGCTCTTGCAGTTCCCAAGCCTTCAGGCCAAGGGTCTCTTTCTTCTTAGAACCTCACAAGGCGAAACAAAGGCGTTGGGCCGCGCATCACACTGTGTCGACCTGCCGCTTGAAGCAGCGACCTGCCTCCAGGCTGCTCGGGCGACCGGACCTCCTCCGGCGGGGCGACCTCGAAACGCGCCGTTTCGTGCAGGCGCGGAGGATTACGGCCGTTGAGACGCGGTTGGATACGTCTCCAGCCTTCAAGGGCGGTGTCTCCGTCTTGAGGAGCTTCTTTGACGGAGGCTTGACAACCTCAAAGGATCCCAAAAGTGAAACAAAATCAAAGGCGTGTCACGTTCAGCCTCATGCAGTCCACACAGAGTGAGAGAATTCACATGTTTCGGAGACACACAAACCCAGAAATTAAAGGGAAAATCTCCATGCGATAGCCTATGGTCCTACCATCGGTCATTTTGATAGCGTTGGTCTGTGATTCCAGCAAGATATAAGTTGGCCCAATCCAAGAGCAAGCAGAATAGCAAGAGTGATGACCTTTGGGTTTACCAGCTTAAGCAGACAGCTCTGCCTTAGTTCCAAACTCACGCAAGAGTCTGAAGCTTTCAAGCCAAAGGTCCATTTCATTGTCATTGTCAGAGTCGTCCTCTTCTTCGGCTGCAGCGCACACGAGCTTCCGCTTCATGGCACTCTTGGCGTTGAAAGCAAGGCTTGAACAAGTTGCCCAACGGCATAGTCATGAATCAACATGAGGCATGCGCACAGTTTCAATGTTTCCAAACAACACCCTCAAAGGTGGAAGTCTTTCTTCAAGTCTCACCTCAAATGTCAATGATATGTCCTAAGTTTGTAAACCGGAGGCGAGGTTGTTCAATAGCTCGATCGTACCATCCCCATGAACTGCAGTCCACCTTCCCTGTAATCCAACTGCATAGAACCACCAACGGCAGTTCCCTACAAAAGACTGCAATTCCAAAAGTCACCGCCTCGACTGGCTTTCTTGGCTCTTCAGTCCAAATTGACGACCATCACTCCCTTCGCTCCCACATCACCTCTCAAAAGTCCCCTCTCTCACAGTCCAAAAGAAACGACCCTGTTCGTCTCCGCTCGATCCAATCTGGGCCCCCCCGTCAGGTCACCGGCCCAGCGCGCGCCCAGCGGAGTTGCCGTCGCCCGAAGAGTGCGCGTCGCCGCCAGGACCGCCATGGCAAGTCCAAGAAGGAAGTTCTTTGGGCGAAGGGGGGCAGAAAGTCGGCTATAGCTGGACTCTTTTGACTCAGAGAACCACATCCAGGGATGGATGCTGCTGCGTGACCTGTTCATCAATTTCAAGAGTTTTCGCCCTTCAGAAATGCAATGTCGTCTATATCTAGTCATGTTTCATCTGCATGTTGTCTGCATGATGCCATATCAGACTGAGGAACGTTGGACTAAAGGTTTCTCTTTGACGGAACATTCCCCTCTTGTACAGGCAGGGGATGAAAATGCAAGTTCCATTCTTAAAGAAGGACATTAACATTGAATCTACCAAAGTCACCGAAGTCCGCATGTATCGGGATATTTGTTAATAAATGTTGTTCTTCCGCATGCACATTCTGGAGCACAAATGTGAACAAAGCAGGAAAGCACCGAAGCCAAGCTTCTTGGAAGGTTGAATGTCACTAAACAAGATTCTCCATCTATACAAATATATGAAGAACATAGCTTCAAAAAAAATCTAGAAAACAAAAATCAAAAGTGCGGCGCTTCTTCAAGGAAGCTTCCCCCGCCGCCTTTTGGGTTTCCTTGAAGAAACGCGAGCTATCCTGCGTCCTGTCGGTAGTAGCTACCTCTTCTACTAGCTTCCGACTCCCTAGCTACTACCTACCTCTACCAGCAAAAACTCTGACTATGTATAAATATATATATATATATACAGTACCTGAGAAGGGAGGGGACGAAAGCCAGCCATCGTAAAAGATATCAATATGGTTATGGGGGGTGAATGGGAGAGCCCTGGTGAGCTCCCCACCTCTTTTCCTATCACCTCCTCCCCCGCTATGCCCATTTCGTACATGAACTCCCACTCCATATGGGGTGCCCTTTTGCGTCTGGTCAACAGGCCTCTCTTCACACTAGGCCTCTTCACTGTTAAAAAAGGGGCACCCCCAGGCAATTCAAAGCTTGCCCGCTGCATTTTGTTCTCTTTCCTGCCCTCAACGGACCACAGCATTACATGAACTTGCACCCCGTATGGGGTGCCCTTTCTGGTTCCTCACAGATCACACAATGTCTGAAGAGACACACACCTCCCTTTCACCCCTGGTCGAACACCATTTCACTGATCATGAGAGGCGCACATCTCCTTTTGCTGGAGGAGTTCCAACCACTTTTCGCGTCAGCCTCTCCAAGCGTGCCCTTCTCGCAACCCCTTTACTCACTTCGTTCGCTCAGCTACCTCAAGCCTTGCCTATCGGCTGGCTTTCGTGATAATATCAGGGATTATGAGGGTATGGGAGACACCCATGTTTTTCTCCGATGCGTTCTCTAGGCCTTTCGTCACCAACTCACCCATCGAATCGCGTTTGCTACAAGGTAGGTCTTGCCACCTGCTTCCAGCACAAATATGTTGCGACAGCGGTCAATGCTCAACTCCAAGCACAAGATCTAGTCATCAACCAGGTGTTGTCGTTTGCAACCCTTTGGGTACAACTGGTCAAGCGAGTTTCTCAATTGCAAGGACCTTTGTCGCAAACTTTCCCAGTCCAAACCTGTCGACCTCCGCCCACGGAAACGACGCCCACGGAACTTGACCTCCTATCATCGCAACCCCGCCCTCAACTCGTGGCCACATTCTGTGCCAACAAATGCCCGTGGGCACTGTGGAAAAATAAACATGTTTCTCCATAGGATTCTTTCACCACAAGAGAGAAGGCATTCGGTGGCAAAAGGATATGATATGCAACAAATGTCTCTGTTTCGTGCAAGAAGGTAGCATGTTTCTGGATAGTGCTAAGATCGACATTCCAAGAAAAGACGCTAGAAAGGACTACCTACATGGTCCATGGCCCACACCCAAGGTTTTTGAGACTCGACTCCATCCATCAGATCTTCTGCCCTTTGGGCCAAGTGCACGGACGGAGATCCATCGGCGATTTGGCGACTTGGTCAACTGTGCGCCCAGCAGTTTCACTACCACAGTGTTTGGGATGCCATGGGGTGCCTACAACCAGGCAAGCAGGTGGATTGGAAGGCCATGTTGTGCACTGGTCGACATGCGAAGAATACTGAGGATGGATTTTGCTTGGAGTCTTCCTGCTGATCAGCAGTTGGAGGATTCAAAAGTGTGGCAT